TTCCCTGCATACATTTTTTGATGCTTTATATGTTTACTTAAATGCTAATTGGGCTGGCAATCCAGATCACTTCTCTTTTACATGTGTTTATATTGTATATCTTGATCGCAATCTCATCTCATGGAGCTCCAAAAAACAAAAAACCACTGCATGTTTTTCAATTGAGGCAGAATATAAGCCTATTGTAAACACAGTTGTTGAATTAACTTGGGTATCATCATTGCTCTGTGATCTAGGTCTCCCATTGCCAATTTGCCCAATCATTTATTATGACAGTGAAGGGGCAACTCAGCTATGTTCCAGTCCTATTTTCCACTCCAGGATGAAACATGTTGCTATAGATTTTCACTTCATATGTGATCAAGTGCAAAATAAAACTTTACAAGTTACTCTTCCTCCACTGATCAAGTTGCTGATCTTCTCACTAAACTACTCCTCAGAGTTTGGTTTTTATTTTTTCGTGACAAGATAGGCCTCTTTTGAGCTTCATCTTGAGAGGAGATAACAAACATGCACTAACACACATTATGCAAGTTAGTATATAATTTTTATAGCAACGAAGTGTAAAATTCTATTAACAATTTTGTTAGCTTAAGATTTGGCAATTCTGTTAGCTAATCTTGACAGCTTTGCTTTTTTCTATTGTATATATACCTAATTGATTGATTAAATAAATAAGTTTTTTTTTTATTTTTGCTCTTCAACTAAGATTTTAAGAGAAATTTTTTAGTAGAATAAAAAAATAAAAAATATGTTGATTAATTAAAAAATTTTAAAAGTATGATTGAGCTTTAACCACATTACACTAAACAGACCAAGCAACTTAAAAATGGAGCTTGATAACAAAAGAGACAGTCAAATGGATACATATGAAAAGTTATGTTATGGCAAAGACCAAAAAAAGCAGTTGTCCAATGGATACATATGAAAGGTTATGTTATGGCAAAGACCAAAAAAAGCAGTTGTCCAGAAACTTAGATAATTTGATCCGAGAGCTTAAATTTGAGAGTTTATGTATATCTGTTGATCGTGTTTTAGCACAAGGAAGCTTTTGGAATAATTTGTTTTTGTTATATTTGTTAACCGTGTTTTAGCACAAAGAAGCTTTTGGAATAGTTTGTTTTTGTTATGAAAAAATGTTTTTGAAGAAATTTTTATTTTATTTTAAATTTTTTAAGTGTTTTTAAATTGTTTTAATATACTAATATTGGAAATAAAAAAAAATATTATTTAAATATATTTCAATCAAAATTTTCTTGAAAAATAAACATTATCATAATAACAAATAATCTCTTTATCCTCTTCCTAATCGTAACTAAAATTTGAAATAAAAATTTCAAAACAAATCAAAATTTGAAAGAAAAAGATCTTTACTTTTAATTTTTTTTGAAACAGAATCTTTTAGGTATGTTGCTGTTTTCTTGTTTTCTGTTTTTATTCTATATTTTGAAACTATTTTCAAATTTTTCGCTACTCATCTATTTTTTAACCATTTTCTTTTTGTTTCTTAAAGTTGTCTAAAAATTAAAAAAAAAATTAAAAATAAAAACGACAAGGGTAACCAATGTACAGTTGTTATTGTTCTTATGTTTCAAAAGAAAACAAAATCAATCAATTTTTTTTATTGTTTCAGAAAATTAAAGAAAAAAGAAATGGAAAATCACACCAACCATCTTCCTAGAAAAAACAAAAGGAAGGATGAAAAAAGGAAAAGAAAAAAAAGAGTGAGAATTATGATAAGAGGGGGAGGTACTTCTTCATTAAGTTGCAGGATCTACAGGCCTCATATCAACCAATAAGAACCCACCACCTCCAATCACTGCTTCTCTCTCTCTCTCTTCTCTCAAGATTTAAGCCACAGAGAAAAGTTAAAAAAAGAAGAAGAAAAAATCGTGAGATTCATTCCTTGAAGCTAAGCTAAGCTAAGCGAGCTACTCTGCTTTTGGGCTTGTGATTTCTGCTACTGTTTCTGTTCTCTCCTCCTACTCATTGGAGTCACTATACCCACCTTTTCTTTTCTTTCTTCTCTTTTCTCTGTTGCTCAGGCCTCAAGGAAAAGGAAGAAAGAAGAGATCTTTTGTTTTTCATTCCCACCTTTTCTTTTCTCTCCAAGTTTCCTCGTGTTGGGCTATCAAATTCATTGAAGCTACAGAGACAGAGTGTGTTTTAAGTTACAAGCTTTCCTCTTTGGAATTCTTGTCAGTTGGTTTTTCCTTTCAGGTGTTATTGTTTTTCTGTGTTTTATATGTTTGCTTCAGTTAAAAAGTTTTTTAGAGCTTAAGCTCAGATCTCACCAGTGGTTTTAAGGGTTTAGGTGTTTTACTTCTAGATTGCTTGTGCTAAATTTTCTTTGCTTTTTCTTTTTTTGTCCTTTGTAGATTCCTGAGGGCATGCCTACGCATAAAAAGCGATTCTGATTCCTTTCAAATGCCTTCTTGATTTAACGCTGATATTTCCGTGGTGAAACCTCCATCTCTCTGCATTTCCTCTCCTGGGTTCTCCTCCTATTCCTCTGTTTTTCCTCTCCTTCATACAACCAACTTCTCTAGCCACTTCTTGTAATCGTAGTAACTGCGAAGTGAATTTGTTTGTTTAACTTCACTGGCATGTTAACATAACAACTTGATACAATGAAGTGGGAAACGGAAATCCTATCTCCTGGATCGTACCTTTCCAGCTCGAATTGGCTTACAGAAGAGAGCAAGAACACAAAATGGACTATAGCAGAGAACAAGGCATTTGAGAATGCTCTTGCAATTTATGATAAGGAAACTTCTGATAAATGGCACAAGGTGGCAGCTATGATTCCAGGGAAGACGGTAGAGGATGTGATAAAGCAGTATAAGGAACTAGAACTTGATGTTAGCTACATAGAAGCAGGGTTGATTCCAGTTCCAGGATATAGCTCCTCTCCATTCACATTGGACTGGGTTAATGGCAATGGTTATGGCTATGATGGGTTCAAACAATCTTATGGCCTTGGTGGAAAGAGATCTTCGACGGGCCGACCTACCGATCAAGAGAGAAAGAAAGGAGTTCCATGGACAGAGGAAGAACACAAGTAAGTGTCCATATGTTTTCATATTATTGGTTAATTTGTGCTTGAATGGGAATTAATATGAAGTTATTGATTCGAGAAAAGGCTAGTTTCTTTTCTCTATTTTTTTTAATTAAAAAAACTTGTATTTTTCCGTTGTATACAGTGAGTTCAGTGTAATATGGTGGTAGGGGCCATACTACTCGAATTGGTGGTGGCTGAGAATATAATCTGTGGAAGAATCTAATCTGGAGGAGAACATAATTGTAGTAGAATCTTTAAATTCAGTTACTGTGGATATGTTTTTATCGCAGTTGTACTTTTAAAGGAGGATGTTTTTGCCAGTTGCCATAACTTTGTTTAAAGTTTCTGTTTTGTAGTTAAGATATTTGCAATGGCTTGTTCCTTCGCACAAATTACTGGACCTAACGATTCAATTAACCGCAGGCTGTTTCTGATGGGCTTGAAGAAGTATGGCAAAGGGGACTGGAGAAACATATCTCGCAATTTTGTTATCAGTAGAACACCGACTCAGGTGGCTAGTCACGCACAAAAGTATTTTATCAGGCAGCTATCAGGAGGGAAAGACAAGAGAAGAGCTAGTATTCATGATATAACCACTGTCAATCTCAACGAAACGAGAACTCCTTCACCGGACAACAAAACAACATCACCTGATCAATCTGGGGCGATTTCTCAGCATCCCAATTCTGCTGCCATGCCTCGAACACATTTCCAATGGAACCAACCCAACAGTGGAGCAACCATGGCTTTTAATTCAACAAATGCAACTATGTTCATGTCTTCTCCTTATGGGATTAACTCGTATGGGCTTAAAATGCAAGGCCAGAATCCGCTTAGAGTTGTTGTTCATGACTCTTACATTGGACAGCAAACCATGGGTTTTCAGATGCAATCTGCGCAACACTACCCTCATGGATGAGAGAATGGTTGTTCTTTGATCCATGGCTCGTAGCTCCGCGTCTTCTTTTCAGTAGTATAGTTGTGCTTATGCCTTCTTTACTGTTTTTTTTTTTTTTCCCTCTGGTCTTTTGTGTATAAGCTGTCAAGAACTAAGTTAGTCAACAGTACGTGAACTTGGGGGGGACAGGATTCTGTTTTGCTCGGAATTCAATTTCCTGATTGTAAAACTGAGGCTGGTTATCCTTGTACTCAAGAACACCTGCTTTGTAGGGAGTGGTGGCCTTATCCAAATGGGCAGGGGAATGTGTTATGTGGATCTTGTTTTAGAAGAGCGTAGGAAATAATCTTGAAGTGAGAGCGGGGCTCTTTTACGCCAAGTGTTTTTTTCTAAGTATTGTTTATTTAAAAAATATTGAAATAACATTTTTTATTTTTTAAAATTTAATTTCAACATTAACACATTAAAACAATTTAAAAAATAAAATATAAAGTAAATAAAAAATAAAAAAATTAATTTTTTTCAAAAACACTTTGAAATGTTAAAATAAACGGACTTTAATATTACCTGGCCGCCCCCCATTATTTGAATTTTGAAGTTGATACCTTAAAGATGTGCCCTTCAAGATAAGATTAAAAACATGCAGAAGGGGATCTGCATAGATCAACAAGCGAACACAAGGCATTCCACGTTAAGGTGGAGAGAAAGCAATGAAGGAATCAACGTGATTAGGATCTTCAATAATAAGTTGAAAGCTAAGCATTTATAGACCAGCTTGTGCAGTTGGTGCACAGAAAAGGTTGACTATTATGACGTGTGTTAGTGTTCGTATCTGTAGAAGATGACCACTTAAAGCTTGAATTCAATATGCAGGAGGATCTCTGAACTTTTCAGTATTCTGTTCTCTTTTTCTCCGTTCCTTTAGATCAATAGTTGTTAAATTGCATCTTGCGTTTTAGCCCCATTTGATTAGCAGCACCCCAGAATCTGCAGCTGCACTTGAATTTGAGAAAAGATTGCCTCTTGCTTGGTGGCGTGGCTCGTGGACAGCCAATGTGCTTCTGCACTTTCTGCCTTGAAAGTCCGTACTCACTCTACAGTGACGATAGATGATAGGAAGGAATATGATGCCCGAGACATGGTTTCTATTTTCCTACGATTTATAATAATGTAGAATAACACAACATTTTATTTATTGGATTTAATTTGGTTATTATTGAATATTTTATTTAATGAGTTATAAATTAAATTGTTTGATCTAGTTAGAGTTTTAATATTTATATTTTTTTTTAAATTAGATATTTTTTATGAATTAAATAAAAATTACAAAGTTATTCTGTTTTTTAATTGTTTTCATAATTAAACTATTTATCTGCTTGTGCAAATCTCCTAAATTCAATACAGTTTCTAAACCCTAGAAATTGTGAAAAATCTTCACCGATAATCACAAAAAAATAAATGGTCTCTTTGACTTGGCTTGACCTTTGAAACCGCAGTCGAGGCTGACTCTCCATTCCACTTCAATTCCCATCTCTTGTTTCCTCGAGCAATCTTCTCCACATGGATCTTTCTTAAAAGATTCTCTCGAGGAAGAAGAAGATCCTTCTCTGGGGCTACAAATTATTTGATTAAACTATTATGGACCATAGCACCAAGCAAGATCCGGGCCGGATTAACTCCGTCCTTAATCAATCAATTAATCCGTACATCTTTTGTTCTAACCTCTCTTAGCATATATATAATTAAGATGCACATCACATTAGATTTGATTGTTAACGTTTGCTGGCAGGGCCATTGCACCTGCCTAAGAATGTTCCAAGTCCATGAAAGCTTTACTGTTTTGTGATCCTAATTGTACGGCTTAACTTATTAAATAAGACTTCTCAGAGATTTCAATCCAATTTAATCACAAGCTTGGATAGGGTACTTTTCTTTTTTATATGGCTGGGATTGCAATAAATTCTGTTTTTTAAAATATATTTAACTTCAGAAAATATTGAATTAATGTTTTTTATAATTTTTTTTTATGATTTTGATATGATGATGTGAAAAATAACAAAAATATGAAAATTTATTTTAATATATATATATATATATATATTGAATTAATGTTTTTTATAATTTTTTTTATGGTTTTGATATAATGATGTGAAAAATAACAAAAATATGCAAATTTATTTTAATATATATATATATATATATATATATATATATATATATATATATAATTTTTTTATGATTTTGATATAATGATGTGAAAAATAACAAAAATATGCAAATTTATTTTAATATATATATATATATATATATATATATTTAAAAATATATATATACATTGCATCACACCAGACAATAAATTTTATACTCTTTTTAAGTGGACGTAGAGATTCTCTCTTGGTGGGGGGAATTTTCATTTGACCTTTAAGCATCCTTTACTCCTTCAGAAGAAAGAATCTTCTTGTTCATTAAGTGTTTTGTTGAACTAATGACTGCTGCCAAATGAGACAACTTAGTCATGATGAATTATTACTGCTGCTGCCATGAAATTTCAGTAAAGTAACTCGCTTTTGTTAATGTTAGGTTTTGCATCCATGGCACACGAAGAATCTTCCTAAAACTCAATCATGGCATTGAATTAATGATTTACAATGCCTTGTAGACAAAAAGTATTTCTTTTTATGATGATGCCAATGACATTGATTTAACCATCCGTTCCATTTCGATGAATTAATCATCATCGCAATGATGATTTGTGAGCTATAAGTAACTTCCACAAGCTCACTAAAACTGTGCTTCAAGTCTCATTTGAACTTAGTCTTGTTTGGCAGCAATATATCTTGTGTTCCACATAAGATTTCTTCTTCTTTTTTCCCCGGTTCATTTTACCAATTGCCTAATGATGCCTGCAAACTATCAGCAAGAGGAACAAAGTGAAATCCACCTCAAGATTTCAAGGATTGGAACTTAGCATTTAGCCAGATTGGCTGATGTTAAAAGCCAAGCCTGCTGCCTTGTTGCCATTGATACCACCATTGTCATTTCATCGTGCTTTAATGGAGCAAACATGGTAAAAGCCTAGTGACCACCCATGTCCCTTGCATATAGATGCTGTCATTCCCTTCAATCCATCCGATACAGGATGGCATACATCTACTATGATAAAATTCAATAGGCGTAAGTGATACAGTTTCATTGCTGATAGCAACAGGGCCATCCCAACTAGCTTTTTCAGCAATAAATGACAGAACAGCCGCTATCCTTTTTTCTAAAGGAGGAGAAACCTTTCTACAACTTGCACCTGAAAGCACCTCCATTCACTTTATTCCTATTTCAATCAAGACCTTAACTGGTTACAAGTTACCAATTACAACCACAAAAATTATGTCAATTATTAACACTTTCGGTTATCTAGTTGCTCTCTATTTTCTCAACTATATATTCTGATTCCTACAATTGTTTTAGTTGAAATATACTTCATAATATTTTCGACAATAATGCAGCTCTAATTTTCTAGCCATATGTTAAAAGGGTTCGTGAGGTTGCCTGCTGAAGTAATTTTGATTCCCTATGAAGCTTATCTGGTCATCAGAGATCGAAGAATAATTACTTATCGAGGGCTTAATTTTACACACAAGCAAAAGAAGAAGCAATGGAAAGCAGAAGCAGCATTCCATCTATATATAACATTAATGCCCTTTCGAGTAAAACAAAGAGACTCCAGTACCACAATTAGAGGCATCTTGGGACAAGAGAAAATGGATGAAAAAAAGAGCATACCATGATAGATTATTGTGGTTGCGAATCTGATTCTGCAATTCTTAGTCTTCCAAATTCCCTTTCCTTTTATTGAAAGAGATTTGCACACTTGCAACATTGATGTGATATATCCATCTCACATAACCTCCTCATTATTGTAATCTCAAAACCAAGTTCACTATTAATTATATGTCGAACAATGAAACAGCTTGGAGAAAATACGGATATAGACCACCGAGGGTTTGCAGACCGAGCTTGGAATGAAGTATATGACAAGCATAGAATTGGTTCTTGGAATTTAACGATAGGAACCCTTATTTGCTGCCCTACTTGATCCAAAATATTGGACCTTGGGCTTATCTGGGCCTTCAATTTTTTCAGTCAAAAGAATTGCCCGCTTTGCATGTTAACCCAAAGCCTAATGGAAATAGAGGTTCATCTGAATTATCTCTGAAATTCATTGGCAATTGCTCAACCTTTCTAAACCATGTCACGGGCAGTCGGCCACTAAAATCATAATCTCCAAATATAACATCTGTAATCCCCTCTCCTTCAGTTCCAGGCAACCAAGCAGCAATGAGACCATCTATCTTTTCCAAGAGCCATGGTTCTATAACCAAAGGTCTTCCAGATATCAGAATAACCAATGTGGGGATTTTATCAGCGACTGAGCTTATTATATCAGCCCCGTTAAAGGGGATTGCAAGCTCTGAATTGTCACCAGTGAATTCTGCATAAGGATCTTCACCAACGGCTACAATGGCAAAAGAAAAATCTTGGCTTGCTAAGGTGTCTGGTGATGGAATTTTTTCATAAATCACCTCGGTTTCCTCTCCTATTGCTTCCTTAATGGCATCCAAGATAGTTGTCCCTGAAACATAAGCGACATTAATAAGTGTAATGCCTGCATTTACTCACAGCATCATGTACCAAAGAGTGTGTGTGTGTATTTTTCCAGTAACACAACTATTATTGCAATGGCATTTCAAAATAGCAATGCCAGCCAGTTTAACTACTAAACTCGAATTGGCATAATTGTAGGGACTGACCAGGGATCTTACAAGAATCATGAAAGGGTTCAATGGGAGATGGAGAGGGGAGGGCATGAGGACTATTCCCTGTTTGTGTAATTAGTAACTACTTAACAGACAAAATCTTGTTCCCCAACGTGATACCTTAGTGATCAATACAAGTTAAAAGGAGAGTTAAGACATTAAATACACGTTCCAACTATAAGCTGGCTTCTTCTCTTTCTTTCTTTATCATTCTATTTTCCTCTCAAGAAAGGGGAATGAGAGGAAAACACAGAATCATTAGCGAAGAAAGTAACACACTTTGACCTATCACCTACATCACACCCGCTCACCCACAAACAGACACATCCTGAGAAAGATGCAAATGCAATTTTTGCAACCCAGGAATATTCCAACAAGTGATCAAAATCAACTTGAATAGATAGTTGTTAGCATATCCAAGTTAAGAACTAAATGAAATCCAGACAAGGAACTCACACGAAAAACTTGCAATACTCATGCGGGAAATGCATATGGCAGGTGGATTATATATGCACTTCCCCAATAGTAGAAATTCCTACCATGAAGAATCTTCAAAGAAAACTAGAAACCCCCTAGGCATCTGAGGATCTACATGCACATTCAGTTAATTTTCATCATTAGGGATAAATCCACAGAACTGCATACCAATGGTGATTCTGCCACTCATCCCATTCCAGGCTATGGTCCAACCTCCACATTGATATCCAAGATCATCAGCATGTGTTCCAGCAACAAGAATCTTCTTAGCACTTCTATCTAGTGGAAGAAGTGGTTTCTTTGGATCCTTCCCATTTTTTAAGAGAACTAAGGACTTGTGAACTGCTTCACGTGCCAGTTCTCTATGCAGCTGCATAAAAGCATTAAGATAAAGAGAGGTAACTTAAGGAATATACTGAACAGTGTTATCTGCAACTACAGATGAAGGTTTAAATCTGTTACAAACTCTAGTGGTGAAAAAAAATGATATAGATGTACAAACTGTATGCACACGCACAACTTTTTCTAATAATCGAGATTTGATCTCCTCGTTCACATTATTAAATCAGTTTCCAGTATTCCAACTGGTGGCATTATCATTACTGTGTTGCCCACCTCCATAAATATTCAAATTCAACATTTTTTCCTCTCTTCCCTTTGTATGTTGACCAGTCCTCTCCCCATCCACAGATGGATTCAGCATTCCAGTACCCAAAAAATTATTTTACAGTACCTAAAAAATTATTTGAAGTGTTGATTTTACCATTTCAATTTTGCGATTAAGGTGTTGGTTACCGCCTCAGATGGAAATTAGATCCAGTGACAATGATGCATGATAAAACAGTGGGAAGATCACTGTCTACAAGTATACCGTGTCTACCTCTCACTTACGATTTTAAAACCTAAAAGAGATGGGAAAAGTAATTCATCTTCGATGGAAAATGGGCAAATTTTGTATCTTCTAATGAGAGAACTATGCAATTACTATGTGTTGGATATTCTGAAAGTTACCTTGCAACCAACTATATCTAGTAAAGATCTATCAGCAAAGGGATATTCGAAAAGACCAGCCACAAACTTCACTCTCAGTATTCTTTCAACAGCATCATCAATCCTGGTCATCGGGATCTCCCCTGATTCTGCCAGAAAAATCAGATCTTCCACAAATTCTCCATGTTTTTGCCCCACCATTACCTGCATATTTTGCACATTGGGAAGTAAGGGCATAAATCAAGGAAAGAAACTTTTATTATAGGCTTACTGGAACTTGAGTTCTATCTCTACCATGTCAATTCCAGCATTAACAGCAGTGGAAACACAGCGACGATAGTTTGACCCGAGAGGTTTACTGAGCCGGTCTAGTGCTTCCCAGTCAGAAATCACAAAACCCTGCAACAAAAAATTGCTTCCCAGTCAGAAATACCCAGATGTTCAAAAATTCATTTCCATAAAAACATAAAAGTATTTGATAAAAGCAGGAGTGATATTCCAACACAGCCTGCTATCTCCTCCCTCCAGAAAAGAAAAGGATGAAAAAGAAAAGGTGGAAACACTTCGAAATTTAAATGATTCAAAAGTCAGGTTGTTGAGTCTTATTGATTACCAAAAAGAAAACTTCGAGATTAACAAGCCAGCAAGAAATCAACCAAATTTTGCATATCATTGTTTTAGTTTAGTGTCAGTTTAACATTCATTTTACAGATAGAAGATTCTGAAATAAAAATTAGAGGCAATCTTTACCTTAAAACCTAACTTATCTTTCAAAACTTCTGTCAGGAGAAAATGGTGAGCGTGCAGTTGGAGTCCATTCCAACTAGAATAAGAAACCATAATAGTGCCAACACCCTGGGAAATACAGTCTAGATATGGTGCCATGTGAATCCTCTCTAGATCCTCATAAGACAATATAGTATCCCCCTCATTTAAACCTTTGTGAGTACCCCCATCTCCAACAAAATGCTTAGCACAGGCAATAACATTGTTTCTGGGATCAAATAATCATCAATGAAAAAGCAATTACCAATGGGGTTAGAGTAGCAAGTCAATTTACAAAACAACATATATAGGTCAAGATTATGCATGCACGAGAATGGAACTGATCTGCAGAATCCAGGCGGTGTAGATTGAACAAGGAAATAAATTTCAGGCAATGACTTTCTTGCATTAAACTCCAACAAGCACAATATAGTTTCTAAGGCTTGTAGGGCGTATTATCAGAAAGCTGCTTGCAAAAGTTCCTAACATGAAAGAGAAACAACATTAACCGCATAACATTTGGTTATGCAGCCACTTGTTCTAGAATTTGCACCACTATAATCAACACCCTTTTGTGTGTATATATTACTCCACAAATAGCAAGCCCAACACGTGAATTAACATGTGAACTTAAACACAAGTATGAAAATTTTCTTCATGCAAAAACAAGCCCTCAAGAACAGATCAACCCCACCCCCAACCCTCCAAAAAAAAAAAAAATCATTTGTTGTTCCGAGAAATGTGATATTGTTATTTAACTTAATAAAAATAATGATCCAAACAACTCAAGATCCACTGGAGATTGGCTAGTTTAAAGATTTTGCAAGCTCTTTCATGATGTATTTCAACCAAATACATTTACACATCTTTTACAGATCAACTCATGGTGATTTCAAGCTCAAACAAATTTCTATGCTTGTTATATAAACAAGTTGAGTCCCCAAAATCTGGTATTCAGCTTCATTGATTCATGAATATAACTTCCCTTTAAATGTCTGACACTAAATTATCATAAGGCATGTCTTGAAGTAGTTCAGCTCCACAGGAGTGTAACCCATTAGGCAACGGATGCTGCTTCACCTCAACGGGGTCTACTTTTTTCTTTTTCTTTTTACTTTGTTAAGTATTTATGAGGCTGCAGTCTTTAAGTTGTGATATATCAAACTTCAGCTGACTATCCACTCAAGCTATAGCTTATAAGTTATAACAGTCATTGACCCAAGTGAACTGAGCTCAACTTTGGTACAGGTGTGATAAGCTTAGGTAAGCAGGGTGACTTAAAAGTACCTTAAGCTCAAGCCAAGTTTGATAGATGTACACAGACACTAGAGTTGAGTCCAAACAGTCTCACATTTGTCTCAGCCCAGTTCCTATGGCTCCCAGTAAAGATGCAATATGCAAACCATGCTAGTAATGAAAATGGAAAAATGTTTGATACTAACTTCTCTCTACCTTCCTGCCAAAAACGGGTAGCCATTTGGGTGTCCTTCAGGTGGCTGTCCCTGCAAGCCTGTAACAATAGAGGCCATCTCTCTAACTATGTTAGTGTCTTCACTGTAGCTCTCATAGCATCTTCCCCACCGGGGATCCCTGCATACCTATCAGCACCCATTGAATAAATTATTCTGCATACTATAGCTTTAAAGCAAGAAGGAATATAAACAATGAAGAAAAGAACAACGAAGAAAACCAACAATACCACTGTATGTTAATTCTGGATTTTCTTTAAAGATACCATACTATTGTGTTAGAAGCACCGCATCTTTTCACAATAAATGATCTTCTAAGATTAGTACCAAGCCAACTCAATAAAAGAATTATTTACGTCATTAAATTTAAAGAACCCTATTTTCATTATATTATGGTGGTTAAGTTCTTGTCATTTTAATTATTCATTAACTCATGTCCTTTTGGTTTTAATTTAATAGTTTAGATTTAACAAATATGACAAAAGGAATGTGAGAGGATCCCAATCCAGTTTATCAAGCATTACATCTGGTCTACAAACAAAGAGTTATTTTGAATCTTGCAAATATTCACCGACCATGAATACCACATTGATTAAACAAAGGTAATAAAAGCATCTACATAAATTTTTACACTTCTTTCTATCACTACTTGCACGCTTTCAATGCAAAAACTTTTATTTTCTTAGGAAGAACTAGGTGATTCTATTGGTTTCTTCTTGGTGATTTTGCAAGTTGTACAAAATTTCATATTAAAATGATTAGACAGTCAATTAATTCAGCTAGAAATCCTGCTGCAGAACAAATCAAAACCAGAGAACTCAAAAGGAGTACCCAATTGCATTTACAAGAACTTACAGCCACACACGGAGCAAACGTATACTGAATGCCACAAGCCCTAACTTCAAGAGCTGTTGCAACACCTATCCTCCGCACCAAATCTGCATCTCTATATCACATTTTGGCATAACAGTTCACGACAAGCAGTGACACTAATAAGTTGACTCTGAAATTAATCTTTCTCTAATTTCTCAAACGATGTAAACGTATCAGAAATGTTAATCTGAACATTAAGCTAGCTATTCCAGTCAATAAAAGAACAGAATTAAAAATTCACCTGGTGGCTCCAAGGCCAACATTGTGAGGAAATATGGTGGTACCATAAACACCATTATTACCATGAACAGCATCAATCCCATATACAATGGGTATACCAAGCCGCGACTGAAGTGCTAACTTTTGAAACCAATCAACCATATCCGCCCAGTCAGACGACTTTGCATTTGAAAAAGGTGCGCTGCCTCCAACGTTCATTACACTCCCTACCAAATACTCCACTAACTTAATGAAGAAATGCTTAAAAGAAAGAAACCCCGAAGAGAGGAAAACGACAGCAAACGTAAACTTCATTGAATCATTTAGACTATAACATATAAATTGAAGAGGATATACATATATAAAATACCAATTCCGAGATCCTGAAGATAGTGGGGAGTGGCAACAGAGCGTTCGATTTGGGTCATCTGGGCAACCTTCTCTTTCAAAGTCATTCTTGAAAGAAGGTCCTTTACACGAGCTTCAATGGGTGAATTGGGGTCTTTGTAAATGCAGCTGCTGCTTTCCATTGGTCTGATCTAACTGTCTGGAACTAATCTAAATGTTTGGGCCCAATTTGCTTTGAATGATTGAAAAGGAGAAAGACACGAGCAAGAGAAGATACGTAGTCAAAGGTGCTCCTTGCATTATTTTATAGTGGGAAAATGGCGGTAGTTACTGTTAACCTAAAGAGATTTCCTGCAAGAATTCTTTCTTACTCTTTATTTCTGAGACTGAATATATATATCTACATAGCAGTTTACAGCCCTACTAGTGTGGTTTATTCTGAATAAAATTATTTTATCAAAATTATTTTTAATTAAAATTAATTTAAAAAAATATATTTTTTATTAAAATTATAGTTAAAATTAAGATTGAACAAAAAATAATTTAATATATTTGGTTAATAATATTTTTAAAATTAAATTCATAAAATAATTTTAGAAAATATATATTAATATTAATGGTTTTTAATTTAAATATTATAAATTTAACTATTATTATTATATCATAAAATAAATAATATTTTATATAAAATATTTTTTTATTCTATTAAATTATTTATAATTTCTTCACGTATGAAATACATTCGATAAAAATTATCTTTTTCATAAATTTTTTAAGAGTATAACAATATTAGGTAAAATATAATCAGAAATAAAATTGAAATTGTGATTAAATTTTACAAATATTATATCATTAAGTAATCTTCGTTTAATTTATATAATATCATTTTTTAATAGCTTTGATCCTAACTAATCTGACCAAAATAATAAAATTATGCTTCATTATTCAAGGAATAAAACCTATAAATAATAAAGTATGCCCCACTTTCATATGTTTTATTCCTTGCATTGGAAGTAGTTTGTTCCCTCTTTTAAGCCTGTGGTACATCACAGTTAGAAGTGGGTTCTATAAAAAAACTAATTTTTTTTATTATATTAAATATTAATAATTGTGATTGCAGATAAATCTCATTTATAGTTATAATATCAAATATTTTTATAAAAAAAATTAATTATTATTTCATAATAATCAAGATTTATATAAATAAGAGATATAATATGACAGTTATAATTTACTATTGTGTATAGATTTGTCCAGCTCACGCCAACAGTTACAGCCTGCGAGAAGAGAACCACTGGCAAGGCAAATGTTAAGGTACTTGATGTTGTCCGGGATTGAATGACAACGGCGAGCCTGGACTAAGAAATATTGATCCAAATAATTCGACTGCAAGATGATTCGTCTAATCAGCTAGAAGATGAAGATGATAAAAATATTATTGTATTTTCTTTTTGAAAAAATAAATTTAATTAAATAGTATAAACTAATCTATTCATATAAGCAAAGTTACAATAATCTTTTCAGTAAATTTTAAATTTTGAAAATTATTTCTCTTGTTTTTTTTTTCCCTTTTACTACAGATAACTGGTTATAGAGAATTTGATTTCTTTTCTCTTTTTCCTTTCTTCATTTACAAATAATCATGATTGATTTTTTTAAAATTACTTCTTTATTATAAATATTTTTTATTACAAGTTTTTTTTATTGTAAAAATTATTTTTATATCACATGGTAACAATGCTTGGTTAATGCTAAATCAACTAATAATATAAGATCATAGTTATTAAATAGAGATCCGCCAGACGAGTAAACTTAAACTTAATTAATATGATAATTAAACTAGTTTAGGTGAGATAAAAGATTAGAATAAGTAAAAACTGAGTTGAGTTGTGACCAGCAAAACCCGGATGAAACTTGTTTTTTTAAATATATTTTTTTTCTAGCTAAAAACCTTTTTGTTTTTTTATTTTTTTAGATGATTATTAATTAAAAGTTCGAAGAATATTTATAAAAAATTTGAAATCTTTTAATATATATACTTTATGTTTATAAGAACAAACTATTTTTCAATATAAGATTTGAAACTTTTTAGTATATATATTCTATATTTACAAAAAAAAAATTATGTTTTTTCAATATAGGATAAAAAAATCTTTTTGATTTAAATATTTTAACTTAAAATATATTAACATAATATCTTTTTAACTTGGAATAAAAAAATCTTTTAAAATAATCTTTTTAAAATTTATTATTTATAATATTTATACATATAAATTGTTTTTTAATTTTTTATATAAAACATTAAAATTTTAAATATATTTTTTATTTTTTCCAGGTTAATTCAAGTCAATTAGTATAACTTAAGACCTAGTTCCTTATCCAAGTTTGAATCGGGTATGATAACCATTCATGATGAAATTAAATATAAAAATAAAGGGAAAAACAAACACATTCTAAAAAAAAGGTTAGTATAAATAAGATTGAATAAAATAATTAATATTAATATGATTGAAACTCAAATATATGAACATCAAATAATATTTATCAATTATCAAGAATTAATTGAGTCTTGGAGATGGTCACATCAATTAACAAATGAATAAAATATAATTATTATTGTAAATCATTTTCTAAAACAATAAATTAATCAACTGTCATAAATTAGTCTATGCATATAAGCAAAATTTTTATTTTTTTTAATGTTAATCTGAAATTGTTTTTGTTGGTAAGAAATCATGGATGTACAATTAACTATTAAAATGAAATTTAATAATATATGTGAATCATATCCTCCGGTGTTTAAGATTTAAAAAATTTACAGTAAATGCTAATAATATTTGAGGAGTCTATATTACAATGTTTTTCTTAACAATTGCTCAAACAAAAGTTAACCACAGTTTCATAAATCCAAAGTGGCCGTCTTAAATATCCTTTTTAAGTACGTCTAAAAAGATATTAATTTATATTAAATGCCTACTTACATTACAGTGGATAATAGCTACAGTGCATGGATTGAAATTATAATTATCAAACCTGGTTGGAATTTGATGCAGTTAAAAGATTAGGTTATGAATTATATAGATTAATTTAGAAAAATTAAAAAAAATTGAAAATTTAATATTTAATATTCCATATAAAAAATTAAAAAAACAATTCCTATGAATATATGCTATATGTATTATAAATACTAAAATTTAAAAGAATATATCAAAAAGTTTGTTATCTCATATTAAAAATATAGTATTTTACATTTTTAAGTTGAAGCATTTAAATTAAAAAAAATTTATTTCACATTAAAAAAATAATTTTTTTATAAACATAAAGTATATATACTAAAAGATTTCAAATCCCATATTGAAAAAATAATTTTTTTTCTTGTAAACATGAAATATATATACTAAAAGGTTTCAAATACTTTAAATCTCACATTGAAAAGATACTATGTTATATTTTTAAATTGAAATATTTAAACTAATAAGTTTTTTATCCTACATTAAAAATACATAATTTTTTTCTTGTAAACATATAATATATATATACTAAAGGGCTTCAAACCTAATATTGAAAAAATAGTTTTTTTTTTAGGAACATAAAGAATATATACTAAAGAGTTTCAAATCTCAAATTAAAAAAATAAAATTTTTTTCTTATAAATATAGAGTATATATATTAAAGGTTTTCAGATCCTTCAAATCTCATATTCAAAAGATATTATGTTATCTTTTTAAGTTGAAGTATTTAAACTAAAAAAATTTTATTCCACGTTGAAAAAATATAACTTTTTTTTTTAACATAGAGCATATACACTAAAAAATTTCAAATCTCACATTAAAAAAATAAAATATTTTTCTAATATTTATATAATGAACTCTAAAAAGGATTAATAACCAACTATAAAAACATGAAATAGAGGAGTTTACAAAAAACAAATCATATTTGGATAAAAAAAAAGGTTCAGCTTGGTTTGCTTGGATCGTGATTCAACCAAATTTTGCCTTATTTTTACAATATTCGATCTTTTACCTTACCCGGACCGGTCCAACTATCAAGTCAACTCGTTGGACCTTTTGGAATGGTAGTTTGGACACTAGCCACCAGCAAAGATGTTAAAATGCAAGTGAGGTTCTGGCCTAGCGGTGGGAGGGGCTTGTCCCCTTCCTCCGCACCTGGGTTCGAACCTCACCATGCACGCCTGTCATCCCCGCGGTGCCTTACCTGCTCACTGGGCTTGCAGGATATTCAGTGGGCCGTGGGGATTAGTCGTGGTGCGCGTAAGCTGGCCCGAACACCCCACGTAAATCAAAAAAAAAAAATGCATTGTTACCAATAGTCAGATTCAATGGGTGTAAGCCTATAAATATCGGTATTTTTTTAAATAATTTTTATTTAAAGATATATTAAAATAATATATATATATTATTTTTAAAAATTTATTATTAATAGAATCACATTTAAAAACATAAAAAAAATTTAAAATTTTGTAAAATTACTTTCCAACTACAAACACAAATAATAATCAATAGTTGCCCTCTTGAATTTCGATCTTATCACCCACTTCATTTAATTTTAATGTCTTCTAACTTTTTATTTATTTAAACTAGGACATGTTATTTATTTTTTCCATTTTCTAATGAAATTTGGTCAGTTTAACCTCATTTCATTAATTCATTTAGCATTAATAAATAAATAATTATTTATGTATGAAAATAAAAAAAATCAATTAGAAATATTCTTAATAAAATAAAAAAAAACCATGTCTTATAAGGTTAAAAAAATCAATTAGAAATATTCTTAATAAAATAAAAAAAAACCATGTCTTATAAGGTTAAAAAAATCAATTAGAAATATTCTTAATAAAATAAAAAAAAACCATGTCTTATAAGGTTGGATTGTAAGAATAAAAAACTCGTGGATGTCCAATTCTTATGCATAGATATTATGCATCAAGTTGTTTTTAAACTAGTTGATCATTATCATCTCTGCATGTCTTGCAAAACAAAAAAGAAAAATCTTAGTTTTGATTTTCATCTAATTTCTAAAATCTCTCATAATATCTTTTATTATGGATAACTTGGACTGTACTCATTATTATAATTGATGGTTTTGCTTGTTCAATAAAAAAATTTATTCAGTGATGGATAATCTTGTTGTGTGTAGTTCCGCATCATGTGATGGTGAAACTATTGCATTAATTGTCAAGAGACAACAGTTATCTCTTAGAATTAAAAATGTAATGTTTATTATAAAAAAAACTTACTCAATGATGGACGATCTTGTTGTGTGTGGTTCCACATCATGTGATGGTGGGACCACCATATTAATTGTTAAGAGACAATAGCTATCTCTAGGAATTAAAAATGTAGTGTTTACTGTGAAAAAAATTATTCAGTGATGAACGATCTTGTTATGTGTGGTCCAGCACCATGTGATGGTGGGACCACCACATTAATTGTCAAGAGACAAGAGTTATCTCTTGGAATTAAAAATGTAATGTTTACTATAAAAGGTTAGAAAACATATTTGAAGAGAAAAGAAAAAGGGAGAAAGAAAGGAAGAAGAGACAGCAGAGTAGTCTGTCTTTTTTCTTTGATTTCTAGCTAGTTTACCGTTGGATCAGGTTGATATTTTAACAGCAGCTTCTAGACACGTTACTCTTCATTCTAATGGTTGGATTGAATATTGGTGTTATGAAAGCTGACTATTTTGATAAAAAAAAAAATAGGATTGTTAGTATTGTGAGTTTTTCTAAAATACTTCTTCTTTAATTTTGTTGTATTCCAAAAATAAGTTGTTCTTAATAATATACATGTTGTAGCCTTAAGTTGAATTTAAGAAAGAATAGTTGTGAACTCAGTATTTGTTGATAGTGGAAGTTTTTAGGTGGATTACGGTCCCGTGATTTTTGTCACATTAAGTTTTCCATATAAAAAATCTTGATATTAATTTATATGATTGTTGCTTTATATTTATTGATTATTTGATCTTGATTTTAATTATGAAAAAAATAAAAAGAATTGGAAGTTATAAATTATGAATTGATCCGAATAGATTGGTGTCCAATTATAAATTTATTTATAAAAAAATCTTACCCAGTGATGGACGATATTGAGGTTTGTTCATGCCTTCATTGTGATTCCCTGAAAAATTTTAAAAATTTCATTTTATATAAGATGCGTTCAATTTCATAGATTACGAGGAAAGATTCTTATATATTGTTGGAGAATTTCTAGCCAAGCTTGAAATTGAAACCTTATATTTAATAGATTGATTAAAGATATGAGCTATTGAAACTATATTTATTTAACAATATAAATAATATAATTTAGCTTGAAAAAATACCTGATTTTAAATAATTAAATATGAATATAATTAGATGAGCATTTACTTCAATAAATTATACGAACGGCCTCATAAATAAATTTACGAACTAATAGAATACAAACAAAAAAAATTCAATACCATCAAATCAAAATAACAATTTAAAAAAACTGAATTGATATCAAGAACACGGTTATCGGTTGTTAGAGGAGCATTGTCTTTCATATCATCCACCATTCCATTCTCCAAATAGAATAAAGACAAGCACACCAAGCATTCTTAACAAAGTTAGATAGATTAATGTTGTCTTCTGCTGCAGATACATATTTGCCGGTTGCATTGCTGCTGCTCGTTCCAATGGGTTTGTCGATGCTGCAATTGTGTTAAAAAGGATGCCATATAGTTGTGACACGAGGAACTTCAAAATACAAGTACCTTCATTGCTTACATCACGTGGGACACCAAATAAGATTGCACGGTGCTCCTTCCCTGTTTATCTGTATCTTTTTCAGAGTCTGTTAAGCACTATGAGCCAAGAGATGAATCATCTATCTTGTTGCAATACACAAGGGTTTTTGTTGAACAAATCTTGCATCTTCCTCGACAAGATTTAATACGAATGAAAGGGCATCAACAAGGAACAGGTTTTGTCATAAACACTAAAACTCAAGCTATTTACCATAATCAAGATCATCTCCAATTTAATATTTGCTATTGAAGGGAATTATCTCAGTGCCAATCAAAACATGAAAAATAATTACTAAGGAAAACCCTATGGTTAAAAGAAACAATAAGAAATTCTATGCAATTGTATTCTCCTTAGGTTCATCTTGGATTTCCAGCCCTCCCTTACCATTATCATGATCCTTGTAGTACCTCTTCCAGAACCAGTGCTGCTTCCACACTCTTTCCACCATTTCATCAATTGGGATTCCTTTCGTCTCGGGTAGAAAGTATTTGGCAAAAAGGCACATTACAGCAAGCATAGCACAGTATAAGAAGAAAGTCCCGGCTCGCATGTGGCATAACATGGTGAGGAATGTTTGAGCAACAAGAAATGTAAAAACAAAATTCATAATAACAGCAACGGAGAAGCCAGCACTTCGAGTCTCTATCGGGAATATTTCACTTGGGATTAGCCATCCCAAGGGACCCCATGACCATGCAAAAGCAGCCAAGAACACACAGACCAAGACGATCACAAGTACGGCATAATGCTTCGCCACAACGTTTGTGGAGTGCAAATGCACTGCGAGGATTACTCCAATTGCACCCTGTAAGGAGCAAATTATGAACTGGTTTAGAAGTGCTAAAACAGAGATCAGCAGTGGAAATTGGAATCATCAAGACGTTTGTTTTTGGCTCACCAAAGAAATGAACATCTGAATGGCTGCTTCAATTAGCAATGCTCTTCTACCAAATCTATCAACCACAACAATTGCAAACGCGGTGCCTATTGGTTTAACTGTATTAGTCATTATAGCAGACATCAATGATGCATTCTCACCTAACCCCATGGTTTGAAAGAGAACTGGGGCATAAAGCATGACCACACTGATGCCTGTGAACTGCTGGAAGATTTGAATAAGTGCACCGCATACTAGTTGAGGCCTACCCGACTGTTTCCAAAGGTTCTTGAAGGGATGCCTGATTTGTCTACTAAATTCAACAGCTTGCGAAATTTCTTCGTACTCTTTATCAACATTATCAACGCCTCTAATCTTCTTCAAAGTATACAACCCTTCTTCATCCTTCCCTCGTTCTATGAGGCTCGTCGGAGTCTCCACGATCATAAGAGAGCCAAGGAGGAGAAGTAAAGCAGGGCATGCTGCACCACCCAGTGAAATTCTCCAACCATAGGGGTGTAATTTTGAAGTGGCATAATTGATCACATTAGCTGTTAGAATGCCTATTGTGATAAGGAGCTGAAAACAAAGATTAAGGCCTCCTCTGTACCTTGCAGGTGCAATTTCTGATATGAATAATGGCACTGCCTGCATTAGAATTTCTCTTATGAGTTATTTGGAAGCAGCAAACATGCTGAAAGTGATGTAAAAGTTGAGTAAAATAATGTGGTGTTCTGTTATTCCTTTCTGTACAAAGTTGAAGATCCCACAAATCACTCTAATATATTGTGTTATAATATGTTAGTCGACCACAATAAGAAGCAATCCTAAGCAAGAGTAGGTAACTAAGCAGTGAGTGTTCATTACTATTCTCTAACAACCTTAAAAAATGTATGAAGTAGCTTCTCAAATAATTATCGGTACTGCCTGATATATATGTTTGAATTTCACCTGGTTTCCAAAACCAATTCCAGCGCCCAGACAAAGCCTTCCAGCGATCAACATGCCAATGTTGAGAGCAGCAGCATTTAAAATGGCACCAACAAGAAAGAAGACGGAGGCAATCTGCATGGTGGGTTTGCGGCCCCTTTTCTTGCAACAAATTGAGCCGATAAAGCAAGCTACAATGGCTGCAAGGTAGAGGGAAGATGTGAAGAGCTGGAGAAGTTGACTGTTAAATTTGCAGTAGTTGTTTGCTTTAGCTTGATGCTTCTTGACATAAACTTCAGGGAAGAACTTTTCCAAAAACATATCCATTCCTGTCACTCCTCCTAGAATCATATAAAACCACAAGTACGAGAAAGCAACTAACATAAGATTATCTGTGCTTTGTCAGGCCAAAAAAAAAAAAAAACTAGCATGCCTGATCTAGTTTAGGTATGTACCCGAAATTCCAATGTCGTACCCAAACATGAGACCACCACAGGCTGCAATAACGGTACAAACGATGACCTGCCATGTAAGCTTGGCAGGTAAGTCCCGAAGAACACCAGATCCATCGACCAGGGTTAACTCGGGCATGGTTTCACCTAAATCTGATACCTCTGAAAAATAGAAAGAGTTTTCACTTAATAACAATATCAGATAAGGTCACTTTGCTTCTGGGATGAATAGGAAAAGCTGCAACATATATTCATGACAGTCATCTTTAGAGTTTGAAGTTCAGAAGAAGTTTGTTACCTAGGAATTTGATAGCAGATCAGAAGCATTTAGCCAGGTGGCAGAAATTAAGCAAGGATAGATTATTTATGAAAGCTAAGCAATGGTTCTTATCGTATCAAACTCTTCTAAGTGTATCAGATTTCATTAACTGATTCCTAAAATCTCTCTTTTGGATAATTTTTTTTTCTTTGTTTGAGAATGCACCTGTGGATAACTTTTCTGGACTCTCCTTTTATCTTATATAATTATTCTCTCCAAATCAGCAACCAGCCGAGTTAACCATAAAAATACCTCCTTCTGCTCTCTGATCGGTATTCTTCAGCATGAGTTAGTCATAAAAAACAATAAAGAAACAGAAATTAAAAATGAGTTATGGCAATTTAATTTGTCAAATTAACATGGCCACGATACCTGCAACTCTGACATGCATAGATATTGTAACTCATAAACAACACTCAGCAATAGATTGATAGTTTGTAGAAGAATGTTGATGGAGATTGCCTGATACTGTTCCCGTCTCTTGTGCATCGGATTCTTTTAAATACCACTTATATCTCACAATGGGGTCTCTCTGTTCATTCTAGACACTGCAAAATCTTTGGCAATTTTTTTTTTTTGAATCTTTTCCTGTCATTTAAATCCTTAACTACTGATGACTCTGCCACTGGTTTATATTCTGCAAAAATATTTTCTTGCCTTTCCATAACGAAACGATCAGTTTCCTTCCAGGAATAGCATTAATGCGGTTGAGAAATATTTTCTACAAATAAGCATTTATGACTGCTGCAACAAATAGTAAAAGAAAGAAAGGACAAGAACTTAACGAAAATAAAGAAGGAAATAAAAAAAAAATTGATGTAGGAGCTTTTTGGAAAAATAGATATTTTCATTGATTAGTTTTACTTTATTATTTTTTTTATTTTTTAATTCCGCATTATTATGTTTTTCAATTTTCATTTATTTGAAAGAAATAGTTTTACTAGTTTATTTTTTATTCACTACTACTAGGGTAAAGAAAATTAAGTGTTGTTTTTGGTATTTAAGGGTTTTGACTTATAATAAATTTTTAAATTTCCATCAAAAAGCTGGTTTGACGTGTTTGGATTTTTTTTTTTTTGGATTTGAACTTGTCTATATATCTAATAGATGTTACACTTTGCTGGTATTTTGGATCACATCCAGTTTGGGATTTTTTATTTTTACCTGGGGTATCCTTAATTTTTCATGTAAATGAAATATGATACTCAATTCATCTTGGTCTCGGGGATGTCAACATAAATTCTCACTCACTGCTTCAATTTATTCATAAAATTACAGAATATGGTCTCTGCTGTACCTGAAGAAACTAGGAACAAGAAATGGTTGAGAAAAGCCCTCTAAAATCTTTCCAACACTAGAGGACTAGTGTTCTGTCAATCAAATGAGAAAAGGCCAGTATATGTTCAAATATGCATCAGTGTATACATATGCATGCAGGAAATAAGTTGATCGGGGATTCGTACTTAGCTTCATGAAGTGGCATTGACATGTGATCTGATTTAGAACAAAACTTTCTATTTACTATAAAAAGAGAGAGAGATTGGAAAGTTGGCTATACTGTGGAGAATGAGAGAAACTTAGGTTTTAACCTTGTCAGTTGCCGTCAGCTTGACTCGACAACTAATGGCATTTCAACTCCTCTCGCGTACATATGTACAGAAATATAATATTTGCCATTATATGATACCTCAAACTGATCCGTGTAGCTGTCACTTGCCTCTGATTTTGTAATCTTAACTTCAGAGTTCATAGTGTTTTTGAGTGATTCTGTGACTGGTGGATCGGTCCATCAATCTCACGTTCTGTCTTCAGGTTCCAGGATCCTGCTTGCATAACCCCTGCTTGGCTCGGATATGGTCATAACAGTTACATGAACAGTTGATTTTCCAGGATCCTCTGTGTTTTCTCTGTCATTTGAACTGTTAATTTCCCCTGCCGGATATGATGGGATGACATTAACTTCATCTTCTGCCAATATTTTTGATTCACTTTCAAGGTCCCTGATGGATTCGGAATTTGTAAACGCCACTGCTTTAAGTGGTTCCATAGTATTTTCTTGGCTATCTAGTCTTTGATATTCATCATCCTCACTGTCTTGTACATGATTGAACTTCTCGTTGTTTATAAATTCACTCGCAACTGCTTCATTCACATTATGAATTATGTCAGCTGCAGGGTCCTGCAAATGAGGAGTATATAGTCCCGGTCAAAGTCACAGAGCTGGAAAGGAGTTACTAGTATTCAATTGCTGTGAAAGCAACAGAGAAGAACTTGCAAGTGAGAGGAAAATGAGGGTATAACAAATTTCATGCTCTATTTAGTTTAAAGAATGAGAGGAAAAAGAAAAGAAATTCAAATCTTTACAACTGCAGTTCCATTTCTTGGCAGCTTCAGAAGCAAAGTCCCCCCCCCTCATTTACACCCTCATTTTAGCAGTAGAATGGGTTGTAAGGAAAAACACTGCTTAGAACATCATATTACCTTTGCTTCAAGAGTCACTAAGATATTTTCACCATCAACTGCCGGTTTTGATGGGTCGAAGACAGCCTTTTGATCTGCCAAATCTTTAGGGTTCCCTTGGACATCCTTGGTGGTTTCTGAGGTGCCAATGGCACCTGCTGGCTTCAACAAGTCTCCAATTTCCTGATCTGCTCTCCCTGTTCCAAACCCGTCAGTTTCCTGGCTGTTGCTTGAATTATCAACATCCTCCATTGCTTGAGATGATAAGACAATTGTTTCATTTTCAGTTAATACTCTGGGGCTGTAGTCATGGTCCTCTAGGGAAGAGATGTTGGCTGGTTTTACTGGTTGCTCAAATATCTCCTGTCTAGTTGAAAATTGAGGTTCACCTTCACTGCCTTCAAAAGACCTTAACTTCTCCAAATCTTCCTTTTTATTTATCGATGGATCACTAACTTCACTGATGAGATTAACTTCTCCAGCAACATCTCTTGGACGATTAGTTGACTCCTATTCAATGTCACATAGCTTAGTTTTTCTTCATGTTATTTTTACTAGCTAAAAATGTGTAAAAATAATTCTTTGGTGCAGAAGTTAGAAGGAAAACGAAACAATACTAGTAAAAATTATCCATAATGTCAAGATGACATTAGTACAATGATAAGTGGAACAATGTAGGGAACATAATATAGGTTGACATGTGACTACCTCTTCTTCTACCATAAGTCCAGGAACATCTGAAGTAGAATGCTCCCCCTCGGATTTTGAAGCATCAATGTTTGTTTCACTGTCAGCGAGTCTTGCAGATGCTTCTTCAAGATGCTCGAAAGATCTGGGGCTAATTTCCTTCTGTGTTTTTGACAGTTTTACAGGTGCCTCATTACCAATCGATGTTTCTGATTCGTCATCTATGTTTTTCCTGGATTTTAAATCCTCCATGGTTTCCTCGTCATCAAGCGATGATCCCTTCATATTCTCCATCTCAATAGTTTCTTCAGTAGGCTTCCCTTGAGTGTTAGACGGTTCCTGCTCAATGCATGGTGCATCTAGTTCAGATATCTTACTAAAATGGGCTTTTGTGTCTTTATATCAATGACGAAAAAACCGTTGTATTCATGCATGGGAATGAGAAGAATGGGACATTTGAAAATTACAAGGATTTAATCACAGATGAAAGCAGTAGAAAATGACATATGAAAACGAAAGATATGTGAACACAATTTTACTGGTTTCCCTTCATAAATATCGAGCTACTGAAGGATCACAGACCTCAGATTTTTCAGATTTGTTATCAATAGATGGGTGATCTACCGAATCATTTACCACATGAATGGTATCTTGAGTTGCAGTCGGATGTAATCTTTCCTCCATATCAGTGGACACCAGTTGACTGAAATCTGATGAAGAACCTATATCTGCTGGGATCCTATATGCTAAAACAGACTTTGGAGATGAGGATAGACTTGAGTTGGTAGAAGCTTGTTCAACTATCAATTCTGGCAGCATGCCTGATGTAGTGGGATCATTAAAACTTTGGTTTACCCCAGAAACCCCAACTTCTATTAATGTACTTTGATCTTCTCTACTGCCTTGAGTTGAAGTCGGGTTGTCTTCAACCTCGACTGGCATTGAAGTGCTCTTAATGTCTGAATGTTCAGTCAGCCTTTCATAATCTCGGTCAATATCTTCAATAGATTCTAATTCTTCCACGCTATTCTTAATGTGAACTAATGGATCATTCACATTGTAAGTAATGTTTGCATCTTCTCTAGACTTCTCAGGAGAATTTAATGATTTGCTCTCTATATACTTTCTAGATTCTGAATTACTTTCAACATCTGGTTGTGACTGATCACTTACGAGTACTTGTATGGCTTTTTCAGCTCCACTATCTCTGTCTTCATTTGATTTCGAGTCTTCTAAGTGGTCATTTACGAGGAGCCTCGAGTCATTTACATTGCAACTGCCGTCCATACCCTCTACAGACTTCTCAGGATTAATCAATGATTCGCTTATGATATTGCAGTTAGATTCTGAATTACTTCCCTCAGCCGGTTCTGATAGATTGGCTATCACTACTTGCATCATGGATTTTTCAGCTCCAACATATATGTTTTCATTTGATTTCAAATCTCCCCTGTCATCGTATGTGACCGTGTCATCTGCATCGCAATTTATGTTCATCTCTTCTGCAGAATTCCCAGGAGCATTCTTTGATTCCTGTTTTATTTATTAAGTTGCAAAGATGAGTCCAACAGCCTTTTTCTAATTATTTTCTTATGGTAGGGAAAGATGAATTAGAATATACAAGATACTGTGTTCTAATATTAGGAAAGAGAGTTAAATACACTGGAGTCTAA